CTTGAGGTTTTTGGCAATGGTGATCATGAAGACAGTAAACATCACAGCTACTGTTCAGTGATGACTTAAGCAAAAGCACATTCTAAGTATCTAGTATATATTATCTCATACAATCTTATAACTCTTGCTTTTTTCTAGCTTTATAAAAATTGTATATATTTAAGGTGTACAGCTTGATGTTTTGATATATTTACACTGTGAAATAGTCACCACAATCAAGTTAATTAACATATCCATCAACTTACATAGTTATCTTTTTTTTTTTTTTGCTCATAGATCACTTAAGATTTACTCTCCTAACAAATTTCAAGTATACAATACAGTGTTGTTAACTATATTCACAATGCTGTACATTGGGACTCCAGAATTTATTCATCTTGCATAATGGAATCTTTGTAGCCTTTGATCCAAATCTCTTCATGTCTTCGTCCCTTCAGCCATTGACAACCACCATCCAACTATCTGCTTCTATGAGTTTGACTATTTTAGGTTACACATACAAGTGTAATCAAGCAGTGTTTGTCTTTCTGTGTCTGGCTTTTTTTATTTAGCATAAAGTCTTCCAGGATCATCCATATTGTTGCAAATGGCATAATTTCCTTTTTTTAAGTCTGTATAATATTCCAGGGCAATAGGTATATTCCATTCATTCATTGATGACAGTTAGGTTGTTTTCATATTTTAGTTATTGTGAATAATGCTGCAATGATCATAGGAGTGCAGATATCTCTTCAAGATACTGATTTCATTTTCTTTGGCTATATTCCAAAAGTAGGGTCGCTGATCATATGGTAGTTCTATTTTTAATTTTTTGAGGAACTTACTGTATTCTACAACAACTGTACCAATTTACACTCCCACCAACAGTGCACAAGGGTTCCCTTTTCTCCACATCCTTGCCAACATTTGCTATCTCTTGGAGTTCATCTGGAGGTTCTGAAAATGATGTGTGCATTCTCTACATCATTCACTAGAGTTAGATTGTTGCAGGTAACACAGAATATGAGAGAATACAGTAAGAGAATAAGGTAACCACAGCAGAAAAGAGAAAACAGAAGTTCTTGAAATGAGCAAAATTTAAACACTAAATCAATTTATTTGGGCATAAAAGAACTTTTCACACACATTTTCAACCCACTTTCATCTATAGTGAATTTCCAATTTTATAGCATTCATTTTTTTTCTCATTTCATTTATTTAGTTTTGAGCAGTGGAAAAGACAACTACTAATATCAGAATCATTCAAAATTTTTGATTGAAGGATAAGACATGTTACTTCCTTAAATAAAATTTTAGTATGCGAATATATATATCTATCCATCTAGCATCTAAAGTAGTAGCAGGGGAATCAGGGAAATTCACTTAAAGTCTCTGAATCTTTTATCATCATCTATAAAATGTCAGTGGTTATTTTGATCTCAAGAGCTAGTTAATTTCATTTAATCCTGACACAAATATTGACACATGCCAGGTTCCACCCAGTGAGGTGATCAATAAAAGTTTATATCATTATCCTCTTTTCCATGTACAGACCTTATCCAGGTTCAAAGCTCGTTTCTCCCTCTCACTAAGAAACCATCTGATTGCTCTTTTCTCCCGTGTATATTGTCATTAATGCTGATGCCAAAAAACAAAGTTTTAGTGGAATTTAAAAAATTTAGACAGGTGAAAATTCTTTATAAATGGTCTGCAAATGAATTATCTATTGTTATTTCATTGGATAAAAGGGAAAATATTCTAATTTATGTTTACATGAGAAAAAATGATCTCTTTATTTTAGACCTTGAAACAGATATTTAATGGAGGTTGTTTCCCTTTCAGAGGCAATACTTCTTTAAATAATATCACATGACAAGTTATTAGAACCTAAGAACAGGAGAACATAGATAATCAAAATGGTGCTGCATTGGCAGTCATGTGACATAGCATCAAAGAACAGATCTGACTTGCTATTTATTATTTCTGTTCTGTGTTGCTTTAACCTCAATATTAAACTGGGATAATATTAACTACCTCATGGATTCTTTGTCATAGTTGTCCCTGTATAAAATACAAATGATAAGAGTACTCACAATGTTAATTTAATTGATAATCACAAATATTACATTTTCAATCTTGTCAATAATTGAAACTACTGATATAAATTATACCCTATGATCTCAGTCTAATATGCTCGTGTCATATTGAACCCAAACGCCAATTTATGAAAAAAAAGTGTTGTCCTTATTTTTCCTTTGCAAGTTGTCAGCAGCCAGACAATAAATGAAACAATGAAACTCAGTTGTTCCACATAGGTCCAGTACCCTGCTGTAGGTTTCCTACAATTTATTTGGAGATTAATTACTAATATGCAGTAATTAGAGTACATGCAAATTATTAACTGTGAAATACTTATTTTTTTTTTTTTGAGGAAGTTTGGCCCTGAGCTAACATCTGTTGCCAGTCTTCTTCTTTTTTTCTTTTTTCTCCCCAAAGCCCCCAGTACATAGTTGTATATCCTAGTTGTAGGTCCTTTTAGTTCTTCTATGTGGGACACCACCTCAGCATGGCTTGATGAGCAGTGAGTAGGTCCGCACCCAGGATAACAACCAGCGAACCCCTGGCTGCGACAGCAGAACATGCGAACTTAACCACTGCACCACTGGGCCAGCCCCAAAATACTGTTTATATTACTTTAATATTTTATCCAGATAATGCGTGGAAAGAGCATCAACAACCCACAGGGCAAAATGATGGTCCCCTAATCCACTACTCCTAACCCCCAAGATAAATACTTCAAATTATTTTACAAAAATTCCCTATATTTCCTTGATATTTTAAACAGTATGTTTATCTTCTAACGCTTGATTTCTAAATCTCAATTACTAGACCATGATTTGTAACTCAGGCCACTGTGAGTGAGAAGCTGCCCCCTCCCTACATCACCACCTTCACACTTTTCCCCTCTTTCCATTCTCTCAACATAGTTATATCCCACTTTATGGCTTGATGGCATTGTTCCATTTTCTAGAATTTATTGATTGAATATAAAAAAATACATCATTACTGTGTATCCTGATACTATGTTATTGGCCATTACTGCATATGTTTCTTCTCATTATATTACTATTATTTCTCTCAAGAAAATTTTAAGATCTTATTTTTATAGCTGATTTGAGAATTGTCAATAAATTGTTTTCAAGAAAATATTAAAGTTTGCAAAAGAAATCTTTTAATAAGTTACTTCTCATTTATTTTTCTGTGTTCTTTGCAAGATATTTGACTATTGTAGTTCTTATAGAACAGTTCTGAGAAAATGTTTTTGTTCGATAATATTTACTCTATAATTATTATGTCATATGCATTTTTAGGAATGCCATAAGTATATGTTGGGTCAACTTATATTAATTATCTAACTCTATCTTTTCTAAGTGCCAAACTTTTTTTTTGATTACTGTTGTTTTTTTCTTTCTGGTCCATTTTTTCCAATTTATCTTTTGAGGCTTTCATTGAATTTATTTTATTAATTATTATCTTTTCAATTTCCAGAAGTCCTTTATGGTAATCTGGCAGTTTCTTTTATATTACACATAGTATTTATTCTGAGGTTTTAACAACTTGTCATGTTTCTCTGGATATAAATTTTTTAATTTTTTGTGTATTGCAGTAACATTGGTTTATAACATTGTAAGGATATAAATTTTTAATAAAATTCTCTTGTATTTTTTCCAATCATTTTTAACTGTGTGGATGTATGTGTGTGTGTGTGTATGTTCCTCTTTCATTTGAGACTTCCTCAAAAGTCTGATGGCCTTTGGTCTTACAGCAATACTGTAAGACTGAAATACTGCAAGCTCTTTTCGGGTATAGCATGCTGAGCTTGCTCACTCATGGTATTCCCTCTGGAGGAGAATTCCCCCCCTCATTCCCACTAAGGGGCTTCTCAGGATGCCATTCCCCCTTCTCCATTTAAGTGATTCACTGTTTCTCAATATTCCTTCCTCCAAAATGTCCTGAACTCTTTTCTCCCTGATTCCCCCCTCTGCTCTCTTCCTCACTTTAAGTTTTAGTATTAATTTTTTTTTCTTATCATGTTAGTTGAGTTTTATGACAGAGAGGTGATAAATATATGTGCTTATAGCCCCACAATTATCTAGAAATGGAAAGAGTTTTAAAGAAATGAAAACAAAGAAAAAATAAGTATGAGTAGTAAAAGGTGCCATAAGGCAATGGATAATGTTATGTAAGCATTGAGAAGTAGATGGACAGAATACACATCTTCTTTTGGGAGAGCTTGAGCAGAGCCATAAAAACTATGAGGAAATTGCAGTATAGATTATCTGGAAAAGGTTTTACTTTAACTAAAGCATTGGAAAGTTAGATGAGGAGGCAGAGGAGAATGACATTTCATAAAGGGTATTTGGCAATGAGGTTTCATTGCAGATTTCTGAAAAGAAGGAGTAATAATTACACCTGACTTCTAAAAAGCTTGATATGGCAAGATTTTTGAGGAGAACTCAAAAAGAGACCATAGATCTGTAACATGAGCTGATCGGCTACTGCAGTTTCGGAGGTATTAGGGCTTAAATATAAAAGAAAAAAAATCATCCCCTAAAGGTTACGAAAATGTATTCAAATATGAGTCTATAATTTATGCATTTACGTAGATATTCTATGCAGACATTTAAAGTATAAGCTCTGACTTTGATGATACCTGAAATTCTGTAGGGAGATAAAATATCTATATCCTAATAAAGTCACTACAGAAATATATTATTCTTACAAATTCACAGATTTCTGTAAAATATTTTGGCCATAGACGTTTGCCTCATCAAAATTTTATCTATGAGGCAAAAACTGGGATTTTTTCTTCAAAATAGGTAATTTTGTTCTTCATTTAACTGCTGTAATGTTTCAAGAATAAATCACACTGTGACTAAAATAATGAATTAAAACCAGCTTGTTGCTCTATTCTGACTTAATGTTGTGTCTGTCTTTAGGAAAAACTAAATGAGTGCCCCATGGAAAACTACAATCAAACATCTACTGATTTCATTTTACTGGGGTTATTCCTACCATCAAGAATTGGCCTTTTCCTCTTCATCTTAATTGTCCTCATTTTCCTAACAGCTATGTTTGGTAACCTGTCCATGATCCTTCTTATCCTCCTGGACACCCATCTCCACACACCCATGTATTTCCTACTCAGTCAGCTCTCCCTCATGGATCTGAACTGCATCTCCACCATTGTCCCCAAAATGGCTTCCAATTTTCTGTTTGGAAACAAGTCTATCTCTTTCATTGGGTGTGGGGTTCAGAGCTTCTTCTTCTTGACTTTAGCAGGTGCAGAAGGCCTACTATTGGCATCTATGGCCTATGATCGTTACATAGCTATCTGCTTTCCTCTCCACTATCCCATCCATATGAGCAAAAGAGTGTGTGTGCTGATGATAATAGGATCTTGGATAATGGGCTCTATCAACTCCTGTGCCCACACAGTATATGCCCTCCAAATCCCTTATTGCCGATCCAGGGTCATCAATCATTTCTTCTGTGATGTCCCAGCCATGTTGACTCTGGCCTGCGTGGACACCTGGGTCTATGAGTACACAGTGTTTGTGAGCACCACCCTCTTCCTAGTGTTGCCTTTCCTTGGTATTGCATATTCCTACGGCCAGGTTCTCCTTGCTGTCTATCGCATGCACTCTGCAGAAGGGCGGAAGAAGGCCTATTCAACCTGCAGCACCCACCTCACTGTGGTGATTTTCTACATTGCAACTTTTGTTTCCACTTATCTACGCCCAAGATCCCTCCGATCTCCAACAGAGGACAAGGTTCTGGCTGTGTTCTACACTATCCTGACCCCGATGCTCAACCCCATTATTTACAGCCTAAGAAACAAGGAGGTGATAGGAGCCCTGAGAAGAGCGATTCAGAGAATCCACTCTGTGGAAATGTAGACAAACTATCTACGTTAGTCACCAAAGCTCAGTTTCACATCAATTCAGCTGTGTTCCATTACAAAGAAAAATAATGTTCCACGCCTAGAGGGAAGGATCTGAAATTAATATGGAAGATTTTAAAAATTTGTCTCACAAAATAATTGTATATTCTAAGGCAACATTTTTGATTTTCTTCGTGATCCTTTTTTTTCATTAGTATAAAGGGAATGTATTTTCAACTCACTCATGGGGAAAAAGTTTTTACTAACATGTATAAGTGAAAATGAAAAATAACTAAACTGATGATATCGTTCAGCATACCAGTTCTACAATACTTTTTGATCTCCCAATATCGGTAAATTAGAATGAAAGAACAATAAATGGTTAGGATGGACCTAATCTAATTGGTACAAGATAATATTTTATTTATTTGTATAATAATTTACATATTTTTCCAGCTTTATTGAGGTATAATTAACAAATAATATTTTTAAGTTGTACAGTGTGATGATTTGATATGCATATATATTGTGAACTCATCACCATAATCAAGCTAATTAATATATCCCTCATCTTATGTTGGATGGAAGTATGTAAGTTCTTAAAAAAATTAAACATAGAACTACCATTGGATCCAGCAATCTCAGTTCTGGGTATATAGCCAAAGAAAATAAAATCCCTATCTCAAAAAGGGATCTGCACTCCCATGTTCCTTGCAGCATTATTCACAATAGCCAAATAACCAAGACAGGAAAACAGCCTAAGTGTGCATCAATGGATGAATTTATAAAGAAATGTGGGAAATATACATACAATGGAATATTATTCAGCCTTGTAAAAGAAGGAAATCTTGCCACTACGACAATATAGATAATCCTGGAGGACACTATGCTAAGTGATATAAGCCAGTCAAAAAGACAAATACTGCATGTTCTCACTTCTATGAGGAATATAAAAACATCAAACTCAGAAGCAGAGAGTAGAGTGGTTTTTACCAGGGGCTGGGTCATGGAGAAGTGGGGACATTTTAGTCTAAGGGTATGAAGTTTCAGATATACAAGATGAAAAAGTTTTGGAATTCTAAATTAGAATAGGGTGACTATAGTTAAGAATAATGTATTGTATACCTGAAATTTGCTAAGAAAGTATGTCTTAACTGTTTTCACCAATAAACAAGTAACAATGAGAATGAGTCCTGTGATGATACCACTGTTACCCCATTTGGATGCCATGTATAGCCTCAGAACTATGTGATGGGCTCCTCTAGAAACTTCATGAATTATTTCTGTTTCATCCACATTACCTTAGAGATTGTGCACTTGCCCTGGTTCTCTGAGTGACTCACTTCTAGGGTAAAGCCTGCAAATAGAGAATCTAATGCATAGTGTAGACATATGTCTTAGCCGTAGCTGTAAGTCAGGCAGGGAAGTGAAGATTTGGGTTCTATCATAGATATTGAAATGTTTGTTCTGTAAGACATATCAAAAGATAGTTCAGATAAAAAATAATGATAAATAGATTCTAGACTTTATGCTTAACCAGGAGTCCTGTGGCCCTTCATTTATCTATTTACATGGGCTATTATGAGTGAGGTATAGGAATATGTAAAAAGTTTTGCTTTAGGCACCATGTATGGGAAAACAGACATGAGAAATGGAAAAAGTAAAAGATACTTTGGCTTTCATTCCCTAATTAGGCAACAAAGACTTCCTATGACCCTATTTGGATAGGCAGAATGAAAGGAAGCAGAGATGCAGAGTGCCTATCACAAAGTTTATAAAATTAGTGTATAAGCATTGGTGTTCTAGGGCCTGGTCATCTAATGTGACCCTGAGCTGTGTAGAAAGGTCATTTCTACAATTACCCATCATTTAATTTAATTTAGCAAAACTCTAAAGTTTTAAGTTAACAAAAAGATTTGCGGAAACTATTTAAGTAGACATACCTTAATATATAATTATTGCTTAAAAATTTACTTAAAACCTTTATCTCACTTATATCTGTCTAATTTACTTGTTCCCAACAATTATGTTTAGACTACTCACAAAAACTTCATGAAATGTTGGACAAGATCAGCCTTCATCCTAAATTATTATTATTGTTATTTTGCTGGCAAATTTTGTAACAGAGATATTATGCAATTTTTTGACTTACAAACACAGGTAGAATAAAAGTTGTATGTCTGCCTTATATTTAATGTTGATAACTTTAAAGATATGTCTATTTTAGCTAAACCAACAAACTGAAACTAGCTTTGATACTGAGTATTTTCCCAGATCAAGTGAACTTGAAAAGTATTTGTGTTAGTTTCTGTATTTCTGAGAGTTTTAGGAATACTTAATTTATATAATCACCTTTTTGTTTTTAAGTAAATTAAATAGAGCTCCTTTACAAATTAATTTTAAATAATATCATCCTGAGGTAGAAAAATACCACACATCTACAATACATACATATAGACACACATAAACATACAGACAGATGTAAACAGAGAACTTATTGCTTCCACTCTAAAATTTTAGCCATGAATCAGGTACAATAACACAAAAATCTTGAGTTATAAAAGAAGTTGGATTCAAATTGTGTTTCTGGTGGATGGAATGAGTTAAGGTTACCTACTCATATGGGTAAAGCTTTTGTGCTAATATTTCTGGGGAAGACACTTAAGATGTGTATTAATCTTGACAAGTAATATGATGGAAGCTGTCAACCAGATTCGAGGCAAAGGAGCTTCTATTGCAGTTTGTATTGTTTAAAAGGACTCTTTTCCCTTTTTTTTTTTTTCAGAATTAAGAATTGGGAATGGTAAAGATAGGTAGACATTGAATTGTTTCTAAGGCTACATTTCTGGTTTTTCAAAGATTTTTAATGTAAAGATAGTCAATTTTAATCCCTCAAAGAATTGGGCTGCAGTCTAAATGATATCAAGGGGCTACTCTGCCCATCTAACTACACTATCTCCAATTTGCTTTTTTATATCAGGGAGAATATTTCCAACTAAGATGGAAATCAAAATACTTGTATGTTCTGGATTTAGAGCTGTTTAGATTTGGAATGTTTTGGTAAATCCTTTCATAAAGGCTTCAAAAAGTTTTCTTTCCATCTTTCTTTCCATTTAGCTTAGGGGAGGAGGCCTAAAAAACAATTTTTATCAGGCTCTGAATATCACCAGCAATTTCCAATGTAGAACAGGGGACTGGGAAAAGGACTGAACCGGTGGACCCAAATAAATGGGGGAACTGCAGACTGTTCTTGTTCAGCCCTAAAACACAATTTTATTCACCAAAGACCTCACACTGGACTTAGTACTGCTTAAGTCAGACCCAGTCCAATCCCAGACACAGTTCAGTTTCCAAGTCAGATTCAGTTGAACCCTGGACCCAGTTTGGTTCTTAAGTTGGATCCAATCTGTCTCTGGCTAGTAACTATCAGCAGTTACCAATGTGGAATTTGGGGAGGGATTCCAAACAAATGGGGAACTGTGGACTGAACCAAGGGCTAAAGGTTCAAGTTCTGGATGGAACAGTCTGCCAGCTTGAGCTGACATGCTAAGCTCTGGACTGGAAAACCAACTATATCAGGAGCTTAATGCACACAAAGCAGTTCTCAGAACCAAGAGGAACTTACTCATAGCCCTCAAAAATGGTGAGACAGACAGAGACCTCAAAGGGTTTGCAGGTACCACACCTGGGTTTCTTATTGTCCTCGAAGACATCAGAAGTTTACTTCAGATTCCACTGATTGCCACCAAATCTGTTAAAAAACAATCAACTGAGTAAATTTTAAAGATCTTATTAGATTTATTAAATGATTTGTAAGTGGGCAGCATCCACTTTATCAGATAGAAAGGAGCTCTGAGGAGCTGTACAAAATGAAAGACTTCTATAGGCAGAAGGAGGTGGCGCAAGAAAGTTATTCTAGGAAAGAGATGATTGTTTTAGGCAAGGTCATCTTCTTTAGGGGAATGGTAGGTGTCTATCAGGTGAATTACCTCACGAGTGCTCACCAGGTAATTCCAGAATGATTGGTTTAAGATCCCACTCCTAGGAGAGGTTGAAACTGTAATTAAGTTAGGTATTAAGTCTAGTTTGATGACTTGGCCTTAGCACATGTCACTCTATTTTGAGCCTGTTGTCTCCTTTTTAACTGTAGCCACCCTTATTCTTGTGTTAAGTAATGTTTCTTAGATTAGATTTTATTCTACACTTATTACATCTCATAGTTCTACTGATATAGGTTAGGGACAATCAACTTCTATGGACCAATTTTAGTCATTGATAACATGGCTCAGTCACTATCCTTAACAGGTCCCACCACATTAAACAAACACAGTCAGAGAAATACATTACAAGAAAACAAAACTATACACATAAATATCTTTCATAGAATCACATGCAAAAATCATTAAGAAATATTAGATAATTGAATCCAACACTGTATGAAAATAAATGAACTGTGAGAAAATGAGATTTATTCTAGGCATGCAAGGCAAGTGGAACATTTAAAAATTGATAATGTATTCTGAGTTCAAGGTAGTAGCATAGGAAGACTGAACTCACTTTCTCCCACAGCCACACTGAATCTACACCGACATATAGAGTAATTAATTTTGAAGAACTGAGGGCTGATTAAACAGCTTCTGCACAATAAACAATAGGGGGACCACAGAGAGCTGGATAGAAGAGAGAGAGAGACATGGTATCAATGGAACCCCACCACCATTGAGGTAACCTGCAGCAGTGAGAAATATCACTGAGTGGCCTGTGCACAGGCTTGCCTATCGTGGGGCACAGCAAAAAACAACAGTTGAAAGGGCACTTAGACTATAAAGGGCCAGCCCTGGTGGTCTAGTGGTTAAGATTTGGAGCTCTAACTGCCATGGTCTGGGTTCATTTCCTGGTCAGGAAACCACACCACTCATCTATTGGTTGTCATACTGTGGTGGCTGCATATTGCTGTGATGCTGAAAGCTATGCCACCAGTATTTCAAGTAGGATCAGGGTCATTCATGGGGAACAGGTTTCACCAGAGCTTCCAGACTAAGAAAGATTAGGACAAATGAACT